TATCAAATAAGAATGAAGTTATTACTTTTGGCGGATATTCAGTTGGGTGACCGCCTAAATTATGTTGAGAGACCGGTAGCAATATTAGATTGGAAGACGAAAACCTTGAGGAACAAGGTAGTGGGGCTATGGAAGGTGCAGTGGTATCACCCTAAGGGGTTGGAATGGACTTGGGAGCCCGAGGAGGAGATGAGGAAGCATTACCTAGGATTGTTCGAGGCAGCGTACTTCGAGGATGAAGTCTGATTCAAGTGGCAGAGAATTGTAATGTTTGGTTCCAATATGAGCTTATTCTCCAAATTGTTTATATTTCTTTTGGAACTCGGCGAGTTGGAAGCTTCAAATCGACGTGTTAAGATGACGTTGGTCGCAGAAATTAATGAATCAACACAGCAAGTCAATGTGTCTCCATTCGGCATGTTGGAGGTTGGGAAGGAAACCTTAAATTTTAGGGTGTTGCATCCTATTTAATGGCCTTAAGTCCCTTGGTTGCCCTCCTTACCAGTCTCTTCTGTCCAGAAACCCTAAAACTGTGTATCATCTTCCTTGTGAGTGTCTGAGCTTGTGGAGGGCCTTAAGTGTTGATCTTTTGTACTCTTTTGAAGAAGCTTTGAAGTTGAATATATCTTGGAGGAAAGACTTTGATCCAGAATCTCCCCACTTATTGCAGTCTCTTGGAGGTATCAAGTTTATACCTTTCTTTGTTATCATTTACATCTTTTTATTTTGGGGTTGTATCTCATTTGTGGGCTCATAGTTGGGTTGTCCAAGAAGTTGAGTGTTCCAGGGGTTATTATGTTAGATCTGACCATTTTATGGCCTCATTTGGCTTAAAATTTCCAGCTTTACTAAGTTCTAGGTCCTATTCATGCAATAAATCCTTTATTAAGCCCATCTTGAGCCCTACGGTTTCTTTTTAGCATGAATGGATGTAAAGTTGGAAAATTTATGTGATTTTCCAGCATTTGGATGTCAGATCTGTATTTTGGGACTATGTCTTGGGAGTTTAAGGGCTTAATGGGTCAAGCCTCACTCTAATGAGTCTAGGGTTCGATTTTGACTCATTTTGGTGGTTCCTAAGGGTAAAGTTGGAAACTTTACCCTTCTACACATCATTTTGGAGGAGATCTGAGATTTGGAGCTCCTAGATTCAATGGAAACAGCTCAATGCATTCAGTTGTTGGATTTTTGGCTAACTCGACGAGTTAACCAGTGAATTAAATTTAAGGAATTGCTTATATTTAGGGGTTGAGTAGAGCTGATATTTAGATTCGGGACCTAGTCAGCTATCGTTCAGTATTCAAGGTGAGTCTTTTCACTACACTCATGGTTCAAAGGCACCAAGGCCGACCCATTAATTGATATGATATGATTATAGTGGAGTATGTAATGGTTTTCTATTTGATATATGTGTGAACTTATATGAAGACCATGGGAGAAGCCCATGGAACTTGGTAAGACCATATGAGGAACTCAAGGATTGGGGATACAAGACCAAGGGTGTAGCCCACGGCATTCCAAATGAAGACCATGCAAGGAGTCCATGGCAAACTTATATGTATGTGTACATGACATTATATGATTATATGTTTTGCATATTTTGGGAAACTCACTAAGCATGTGCTTACTATTTTGTTAGATATTTCAATTACTTCTAGTTCTAAGGGCAAGGGCCCGGCTTGATGGTACGACATGCATTCTCTAGTGTTTTTATATATAGTTTTGATACTCTAGTCTTTTAAAACACAATGGTCATGTAATGAGATTTTCTAGAAACAATTGTGGTTGGTATTTATGATTATAAAAGTTCAAATTTTCTATAAAATTTTGGGCAGTTACAGCGGTTTCCTTGACAAAGGAACCGAGAGATCATGTCAGATCAAAACATGTCGACAGAAAATACAATTTTATCAAACATAGAATAGAAGAAGGACACCTCGTCGTGAAGAGGGTATCATCATAAGAGAATCTTGCAGATCCCCTTACAAAGGGTCTAAGTAGGATTAACCAAGTTCGGCATGCTATGAGCATTCGTCTGAAGGATGATATTAGTTTTAGTAGTTAGATAGTTATTTAGAAACTTGTAACAAAGTAAATGTAATTGACTATTGATGATTAAATAATGGAGAATTGTTTATGAGTAATTTTTACTATCTTTTGTCAATTTTTTATTATTGTGTTTCATTTTGCATGTTTACTTCCCGAATAATTCGATTATTCAAATATCCACAGTCGATTGTGCTTTTGGAAGTAAGTAGTAAATGAAGACTATCATGAATTGGATTGTAAATTATCTAAAGAGTTTAGACATGGCAATAGTGTTGATGTAATATTCATGAGTACTTTGAAATGAAGATTTTAAGTATTGGATTAATCTACGCTTAGAGAACTACTTCATGGAATTTATCATGAATAATTTTGAGATGATAACATCTTATAATCTTTAAATGAATATATGAGTCATGGTTTACAAATCAATTGTACATCGATGATAAGTAAAGGCATCGATAACATGATGTTATAAAACGTATTGTTGTGCATGATTTGGTGGTAAATAGTACAAGCATATAAGTCAAATTTTATTTGTTCCTTTTTTCCTTAATGGTAAAAAGCGATATCTTTGGGCCCCTCGATGATTTGTTGTTGACTTATAGTGTCGGGCCCAACCAAGACTTGATTGATGTGTTCGATTTGAAGTTCTATTTCATTACAAATTAGAAATTAGGAAATAAAGTTTTGGACAATGAGATTGATTATGTTCCATGTCATTTTTCAACATGATATCCTGCAAAACTCAGGATTATATGATCACTTATCTTAGGTCACATACTGACTAGGTCAGAGTTTGACAATAACTTTTGAGAGTGATAATTTTTTGATCAGTTTAGAATTTATACTGGCAACTATAGTTATTAGACTTATCTAAGTGAGAGACTGTTGAATTAGGTGTCTAATCTCATAACTATAATTAGTATATACTTGAATTGATAGTTGCATAATCCTTTTAGGTTGCCCTCAAAACTAGCAACTTGACAAGATGATTTTTAGAGAGAGAGAAATTGAATTTATTATTTGATTAATAAATTGAAATTAATAATTTGTTAATATATTATGATAATAATATATTAATAAGAAATAGTAATATTTAATTAATATTTTATCATAAATTAATTGGAAATAATTTTGGGATTAAAAAAATTAATTAAAAGCGCAGGGTCTAAAGTGTAATTGTACAATAGTTGAACAAGAGGCTCTAAAATATTCCTAGGGTATGGATAATCTAGGGTTTCTAGATTATCCCATGTGGATATATAAGGAGTTGGATAATTACCAATTTGAAATATTATTATTATATTCATATTAGAATTATCCAGTGCTTCCTTGTTGGATTATAAATAGACCCTTACCCCTAATGATTTTTGGCCACTCATAACCTTAGAGAGATAGCCGAAATTCTTAGCTCCCTTCTCTTCTTTCCTCTCTCGTCATCTTGCTAGTGTTGGGCGTAAACCACTTGAGGCAAGACATTTGTGGTTCTTGCTCGCAAGGCTTCAACAACACAAGGATTCTTTGTTATTTGTCAATAACAATCAAGGTACTCTTTCCTAACCCTAGATAGTAATTTAGAAAATCTACTAGTAGTCCTAGGGTTTCTTATTTGATGTTCAAAGTTGTATGTTCAATTAAAGAAAACATATATCAAGAACTAGGGTTGCATGCACACATAGGATTTTGTTTGTTATGCTCAAAACTCATCGGTTATTGTTATCAATATAGATACATAGATCATTTCTAGATTGCATGTAAACTTAAGGGTCTAAGTGTTTTTCCAGCACATGAATTTTTTATAACTTAAAAAACCCATTATTCTGAACATTAAGGGCATGGGGAGACGAAGAATTGTCAGCATGAGTGATGAGGGAGTCATGTTTTTCATCTTGCATCATCTGTTGTTCTTCACATAATAGAATGGATCTTGCATCCCAGAAAGATGGAGGTAGATCTCGACGTCAGATGTTAGTTGCAATATAATAGAATTTTGGAGACAAGCAATCAATCGTGTCTGCAACAAGGTTAGTTTTAGAAACTTTGGCATCCATGTGTTCTAATCGATCAACATTAGATTTAATTTTATTACAATAGTCTGTGATGGAAGAGTTACCAAGAGAGATGTTACCGAGTTCTCGATCTAATTGAATAACATTGGATGCTTTGTTATCTCGAAAAACCTTTTCAAGGTTCTCCCAAACTTTATAAGTTATTGCCTACTTCTTAAAAATCATGTTGACAAGAGAAATGGAGAGAGTGTTGTATAACAATAATTTCACAAGAGTCCACACGAAGCCAAGTGGCCTTCGCAGCATCAGAGTCTTCTGTAGCTTTTTCTTTGTCTTTGTTGCTTGTTATAGCAACAAGAGGCTTGAGATGACCATCCACTCCATACCCAATGTAGTGAATTTCGAATAACTCTCTCCATATATGTAGTGAATTTCGAATAACTCTCTCCATATATCATAATTATTTGATCCAAGTCCAGGAAAAAAGCAATTGGATGCTTGATACTAATTGTAGATGAGAGTTGTCATTCATAGGGAGAGACATGATAAGAGGTAGAAGAAAAAACGACAGATATACGAAGAATGGTGATGAGAGATTCCACAGTTGACTGTAGATGAGAGTTGTCATTCATAGGGAGAGACATGATAAGAGGTAGAAGAAAAAACGACAGATATAAGAAGAATGGTGATGAGAGATTCCACAGTTGACTGGTCGGACAAAATTGGCTTAGGGTTGAAGGGTAATCAGGCTATGTTGCTTGATACCATGTAATTGTGAATATATATACACCGAATACATTATTATAGAAAATGGGTCACATCACACTTGAGCCGGCCATAACAGATGCATATACAAACTAATAAAGCTACGCTAACATTGGCGAGGATGGAGCATCCAAGGCGAGCCCTTAGCAAGCTGTACCGTGCAGTCTAAGAGAGACTATTTTGAAAGGTTATTCATAATGGACATACATACTTGTAAAGAAGCAATTTTTTATTTGTTCTAGAATATAATGGTCGTACAATTGTACAAATAGAAAATGAATAATCAAGATATAATTAATATTAACTCAAAATGGATTTCTTCAGGCACTACAAAAAATTGAGTATCTATATAGATTCATATCATTGTCTTGAAGCTGGACCATAAAAACGAATGCCTCGATGGTTAACTGGTTGTACTGGTCTTGCATTATTTTCTGCATACTGCATTATAATTTACAAACATCAATTACCATCCATTTTATATACCTTAATCAAAATAGTGAACAAGAAAAGTGACATGAAAATAAGATACAATTTACAATATTTAACACAACCAATACTTACATCGTGTACAGCCTCTCGAAGCAATTTAACTTGATCTTTTGAAACAGTTCTTATCTACAAAATTAACAAAAAGAAAAATCTTTAGTCAAACATACTGAATAAATGGCTTTTTGTGTCAATTACAATTACAAACATGGATCGTGATTTCACCTTTTTGCTTATGGTCCAAACAACTCCTTCAGTACAAGGAGGAACAGTGAGTGAGCCGATGTATCTATAGTATCTTCTATTACTCATTTGAATCTCTTTAGGATCTATAACTCCACTGTGTCCATGCTCACCCTTTTGGTCTATCATAGCCGTTATGTTTACAGTTAACTGCAAGTAGTTCAATGAAAATGTAAATAATTTTAAAAACTATCGTTAAAGGAATTATTTTCCTATCATTTTTATGCAATATAACTACGAAAAGAGAATTAGGGGTGAAAATAGAAAATGATGATGCTGGTAAATACTTACCTTTGAAAGAAAATGGTCAGGCGCGCCAATATTGTAAAGAACAGCAATGACAGCTATTTTGTCGTCGGTGCTGAGGTGGACAAGATGTAGTTCCATGTCATACCTGTTCATATTGTCAAGGAATTTGTTCAACAACTATAAAAGTAACAAATTATTCTGAAAAGTAACAACGTTAATTAATTGTCTTGAAGGGTGATTATCAATACATGTACATATTTCACAATATATACCTTCTGCCATTGATGGAATGCTCTGAAGGCGAGTGCCAATGAGCTTGTTTCAAAGCATACTCGGTGCCATTTATGCGAATTGACCCTGCATCTCCTTCCCATGCAAGCTGCAACATTAAATAATAATTTGAGTTATTGAAAATTGTCAATAATTGAAAGACACCAAAACAACATAAAATAAGTAACATAGAAAAGCCAAGATGATCGGCGACAATAAAGTGTTCCATTTAAATCCACTTTTTCTTTTCTTAAACCTTTTATACTAATCTATGAAAAGGACACTCAATAAGCAAAAAGGTTTATCTATATATTTTTATATTAATTCATTGTGTTCTAGTAAATACTACTCAAAAAGGTTTATAACGTTCAAAATTTAAAACCCAGCTTTAATAAAATATATAAATATGTATAAATTAAAAGATAGTGGGAATCTAGTCAAAAGCGGTCAAATAATTAGGTAATGCCAGTTATTGCTACGGTGAATAAATGTCTTTAGGCTTTATCTCTAAACCAATAATAATCTTGGCTTAAAAAACACACCATAAAACTAAAAAAACACCCCATAAGGCTTCTAATGCTACAAGCTGTTCAGAAACTATAAGGCTTTTAAGGGAAATCGTATCAAGAGTGTATGAAAGATTTAACGAAATTACCATAATGTCATGGCCTCTATTATTGACTGTAGCATTAGAAGCCTTATAGTTTCTGAACAGCTTGTTAGAAGTAACCACCATCTCCACCCTCTGACTCGACATATCAATCGGAGATTGCATCGTCCCGTTGCTGCAGGCCGACCATTCTTTCCTTATCTCCCCCCATTTCTCCGGCCCCATATGCCCATCTCTCGCATAATCAAATTCTCTTTCATCCTCTACATTTTCACACACAAGATGATTAACTTTAAAAAAACAAAAAGATGGAGAAACCATGTTAGTGATGGGTTTTCGAGGTTCAACCCATGGCTCTCTGTTATATATTATTAAAGTCAAAAAAAAACCCAGTATATAACGAAGTTTAGGGCATTACCAACTTCTTGAGCTTGGGTTAGTGATGGATGAGACAATATAAGCATAAACAAAAGAAACCCAAGTGCTAAAATTGTGTTTGATTTCATAGTCTTCATGTTTCGCACCTCACAGAGAGAAGAGATCTAGAGAGAGATCCAGAGAGAGAGAGAGAGAGAGAGAGGAATATGTTAAATGTGGCTTCTGTTATGAGTCTATATATAAGGAGGGTCATATATAAGAACGCCTTAATATGTGTGCAATGACGTGGAATTTTCTTGTATGGTTCTAGAAAAAGGACCAAACGGGTAATTTTGGTGGATGTAAAGTTATGAATAAAATATACAAGTGTGAATGACCATGATATCGTTGTATGTTTATTATTGTTTTTTTTTTTTTTTTAACAAAGAGAGAAACGTGTGGTGTCACGTGTTTCCGGGGTTTTACCAAAATCTTGGAAGTCAAAGCTGCAGCATGTTTTGATTGTTTTCCTTCCAAAAGTTCCAATGTCCAAAAGTTAAGGACACCCTTAATTCACAAAGTTAGAAATTGTCTCCGAAATATACTAGTTAGGAATAAGATCCGAATTTGATTGATCATGATGTAGTCAAAATCGGGATTTATTTTAGATTTAAGTTTTTATTATGATAACCAACAATGTAGCCACGAGGTATATTCAAAGGGTCCTATATTTCCACTAAAGTTTTTTATGCATCCATTGAAAAAAAATAATGGATAGACAAACTAAGGGTGAGCATAATAACCGAAAAACCAAATCAAAACAGAATTAACCGATATAACCGAACCATAATAACCGAACCATTTTAAAAACCGTTGGTTCGGTTTTTCATTTTTGTTAACCGATAACTAACGGTTTGGTTATGGTTTTATAGTTTAACCGAACCGCTAACTTTATATTTTAATAGGGAAAAGTGAATATGTGGGTGTTATGTACCTAAGCTTGGGTATAGAACCTTTTAAATGAGATAATTTTAAACAAAATAAATCCAATTTTATTTTCTCTTAGTTTTGTTTTAATAGAATACCATTGAATTAAGTTCAATTATTGAATGAAAAAGATGAATTATATATATTCTTATTGCAAATAATTATTGAAGTTTATAAAGAAAATAAAAACCAATATTTTTTTAACGAATATAACTCAAGCGTTTTATCCTTCAATTGAAAAACTATATCCGATGATTTTGTGAAAAGTTTGATTGAGTTATGACATGTTATTTTATCTTTTATCTATTAGTTTTTATTTAGAATTTAGTAGGGTTGATTAAATGACCACGACTTTTAGTGTTTTAAGTTTTTAGGCACAATAAAGAAAAATAACATAAATTTGATCGATTTAGTAAGTCACGTGATTAATGAAGAATAGTAAAAGAGATATCATGATTAGTTTGGATATAAATGGATCAAAATTATAGTGTTTGGAGGGTTCTATATATAAGCTTAGGTACATGACAACCACATATTCCCTAAGCCCATTTTAATATATATAAATTATAAATTATAAATTATATATAAAATAATATAGTAAATATTATTTAAGACCCATTAAAATTTCAAAATACAATCCATTAATCCTCACGTATCAGGAGACGAACGAGCAATCAGACCATCAAAGGCTGATCGTGCAGACACATACAATATTCCAATCATGCAATGAGTTAGATTGTTGATTAATGTTGTAATTCCTAATCGGATAATTCTAAAATTTGTAAACATTATTCACAATTAGTTTAATCTTCACATTCATAATCCTAATCGAAAACTTCTCACACCGTTAACCATAATCAAAGATTGTTTTGACTTTATTGTCCTATTCGAATGATTTTTTTGACTTGATAATAAAGACTTCTATGTAAGTTAAGTTTTTGGTTCTTCTTGACTCTTTGATATTAAGAATGTATTTTTTTGGCTTTATTTATTTATTGTTTTTAACTTAATCACATTAAATGTATGAGTGATTGGCTTTTTCTTATCTAGATAACACGTAATATGAATGTTTGGCTATTTTATTTGATAATTTTTGATTTAATCGCATTGAACGTGTATGATTTTTGACTTTATTTTAATATTAATATCAACTATCAATATATGAAATTATTAATGTAAATTTTTTTTAATGTGTTATATTTTTATTGAATGTTTTTTATTTTTAATGTGATTATGTATTATCTCACTTTAAGTATTAAAGGTATATATTTTATTATATTACTATAAGTTAGGTTACAAACATTGGCGTTAAGGACTTTTTGATATTCTATTTTTATTTTTTATGCCAATATATGTTCCCCATTTATATTATTTTGAATATTATGGTTAACCAATATTAACCATTAACCAAACCGTTAACCGATAAAAACCATTAACCATAATCAATATTAACCATACCCAATGACTATCAAAATTCATTAAACAATCATAATGGTTATGGTTCGGTTTTAACCAATAACCGAACCAAACCCTCACATACACACCCTAAGACAAACCTTCATTGTAAATGTGGATGCCTTGCCTCCCCCATTTTAAATGTTCAGTAAACTAATAGATCCAACGCTCTTTATTTATTAACTAAAGATAATTCTTTATTTAGTAGTAAACGTCATTTTTTGCTACTAATTATAAAGGCTGCTCTTTATTTATTAACTAAAGATAATTTTTTATTTAGTAGTAAACGTCATTTTTTGCTACTAATTATAAAGGCTGCTCTTTATTTATTAACTAAAGATATTTCTTTATTAAGTAAACGTCATTTTTTTAACTAATTATGAAGGCTTGGTTGGCTGCTAGTCTGCTACTACTTTCTCTTGAATCAATATACCAAAACCAAGGTAACTCTAAATTCATATTATATACTCAAATTTTTTGTAATTTGTAACTGATAATATTATTATTAATGGTAATTTATATTTTTATAATAATAAGATAAGCATAAGCAACAAAAAAACGTAGATGATAACTCCAAATGAAAACAAACGTAGCAAATTTTAGGTTATATACAGAAAAATCCCAAAAAATTTTTAAAAGTTTCAATAAATTTGTAAAAGTTTTTTTAACAAAAAAATGTCAATATTTTGATGTTTTTGCTAAATTAACGAAAAAATCATTTTTTATATTTGAACAGGAAATGATAGATTATATGTTTTTTTTCAAAATTTTGAGACTTTTCTGTTTAAAAAAAACTTTTTGAATTTTATTGAAACTTTTGAAAAAAATTTGGATCTTTTCTGTAAATAACCCAACAAAATTTTTCAATAGTGTTTATGGTATTTTCGAAAATAAATTTTTGCAAATATTGATATGGGTTTTCTTTAGATGATTTTGTCTTGTTAATTTCTCTTTCAAATTAATACATCTGTTTATGTATTCAAATATAAGTATATTATAATATTTTATTAAAGCATCATCTATTATAAAATCATGCTCCGCCCCTTTGTAATTCATCAATTTTGTCACTTTTTTCCCTCTTGTTATTCATCTTCCACCTCATCTATTTTTTATTTTAGAAAAATGTATTACTTCCAATTTCAAATAAAAAATGTTTCATTTTGGGATAAGGTTAAATCTATATAATCGATAATTTATATATAACTCAAATTTTGCTTGTTGCAACACTTAGTGAAGTTTATCATAAACCACGGTTGAGTTTATGAATTTGAATTTGAGTAGAATCAACCATTAAGCGACATATGATTTCAACTAATACTAAATGACAATCGATGTCGAATGGTATCTCTTTCATTAATTCAAAACATAGATTGTTGTTTTCTCTCTAAAAATGTCTATAATTTCATATAGATATGAAATATGTGGAAGTATGAACAATGAGTTTATTTGTTTGCAATGAAAATGATAGATTCTTTTAAAGGAGTTTAGGAACAAAGGATTCCTACAAAAAAAATCCACCAACTCCTTCCTTTCTAGACCACCATGTCCTTTTTGTTGGTTATTTAGATAACCAAAAACATAAACACGGAAGCATAATTTTGGATCTTTAATCTCGAATCTGATTAAAAGAAAACTTAAACATGAAAGAATGATTAGATACCTTGTTCCATTGAGATTTTCGGATCTAGAGATTAGGAAGAGCTTTCCAGTTGATCTCAAGAGCTCTCTCTAAAATCCCCCAACAATGAACCATACGAATTTCTTAGTGTATTTCGTGTGTCTTGATTTGCTCCTCATCACATGTATTTATAGATGGATATAAACCCTAATGTGAGAGATGGAAGGAATCTTGAGGATCTTGAGTCAGACCGGGAACTCAACCCACATAGTAAGTAAATATTCTATAAATCGGTCCATCAACAATTTATATTCTTACCATAATAAATTGATTTCATGATAACATTACATATATATGAAGTGGTCCCATAATTATCTAACAATCTCCCACTGGACCACAAATATATAAATGTACATATAACCGTATAAGCGCTTTAATGAATGTTATCATAATATTGGTACCCTTAAACAATCTCGTCCACTAATCATAATAGTATAGGATCAAAGAGGTCTTCGTTACAATTTACGTAACTAAACCTATCAATGGTCACATATACATATATAACTAATGACATAGATTAAACATGAAGTGTGGTTTTAAAATATGAATAGATTTCCAACGAGTTCCTTTTTAACTTGAAGTAAGATTAAACTTCAAATAAGTGCAACTAATAATGGAGGTAACCGAATTCTTAATTCTGTACAGAAAAACATATTCTTAAACAAGACATAACGCACCATAAAACTCCCACTAAAACCAAATATCACACCAATGTGTGTAGTATGCTCATGAAAGACCTAGGGAGGTAATCCCTTTATGAGCGGATCCGCTTTTATGGAGTTTGTTCATATGTGCTATATATATTTCCATTTGCACTATTGTGTTAACAAAAGGAAACTTGATGTCAATATGCTTTGACTTAATAGAACTTCTGTTATTGGAATATAACATTGCTGATTTATTATCACAACTTTAATGGTCTTTCAATACCAATAATGTGTAGCCTCGTGACAAATTTTCGCAACCATATTCCATGTTATAAATTATGATGCCATTATGGAAGATGCTACCGAATTCTATTCCATGAAGTGGCTCATCATGCTAAAATGTAAAAGTATCTCGATATGGATCGGTAACCATTTGGCATCTAATAAAATCAGATTTTTAATAAAAATGATCTT